TTTTTTTTTTTTTTTACATTTCATAGTTATGCATCATGAATGTGAGACCAAACCTCCCTATTTTTGAATTCAACAAGATAGATGCAGATTGATTTGTTTTAAATGGGTAACAAACGTCACATGCATTTCAGATCACTATTAAAATAGTTTTGTTGTTTTATTCCTTTTTTCAGCAACTCTTAAACTGTACTGGGTTCACGATTGCTTTTAAAGAAATAGAGCTTGCAGCAATTAAATAGAGTACATGATTTGGTAAATCAAAATTATGGATGAAAAGCAAAAATTGTGACATATGAAGTCATAATCATGTTTTAGTTATAAGATTAAAAAAAAAACAATTGACATTCAAAATTGACAAAAGGTCAAATTGACTTTTTATGCTAGATTTTACTTTTTGTTTTGCTGTTTTACCTAATAGTTTGACTTTTGCCATTATTTCAGCTTTGTCAATTATGACTTTTTGTGTCATAATTTGTCAAAATTGGAGTTTTTGTCACAATGACTTGTGTCTCGTAGCTTCAACTTGTCATGACTGAATGTTAAAATTAAGACTCAATATGTCAGTTTTGACTCATAATGACATGTAAATTATGACTTTTTATGTAATAATGACTTAGTATATCATTTCAACTTATGTCATAATTGACTTAGTATGACATGACTCTTTATGTCATATAATTCTGAATTTAACTTGTCATAACAATGATATTTTATGTCAGTTTCGATTTTTTTTGTGTCATAATTTTAACTTTTCATGTCACATTTTTGTCATAATTATGACATTTTATGCTTCAGTGTATGTATGTCATGATGACTTAAGTCATAATTTTGACACTTGGTATGTCATTATTTCTGATTTTTCAAAGCATGGTATTTGTACTTGTGTGGCAGAAATGGCTTTCCATAGACAACAGCCAGTTTAATATCTCTGAATAAATGTGTCTCAGAGATCCACAACTCAAACACATTGAACCTCCTCTATAGGTCACACTGATATAGCACTCCACCATATGAATAACACGCTAACAGGCCAGCCTTGGGGTTTTAATAAGCATGAAACTTGTCTTCGAAGTACTAATGGGAGGACAGTGCATTTCCAAGACTCCTTTCACCCTGCTGTGAAGGGACCAACTAATACAAATGCTAATATACGTGAAAACCGAATGCACACCTTTCCCAGAACCTGTGGGCTGCCTTTGAAAGGGTCAGAAATGCCGCATTTCCGCAGAGGTTTTTTTTTTTTTTTACATTTCATAGTTATGCATCATGAATGTGAGACCAAACCTCCCTATTTTTGAATTCAACAAGATAGATGCAGATTGATTTGTTTTAAATGGGTAACAAACGTCACATGCATTTCAGATCACTATTAAAATAGTTTTGTTGTTTTATTCCTTTTTTCAGCAACTCTTAAACTGTACTGGGTTCACGATTGCTTTTAAAGAAATAGAGCTTGCAGCAATTAAATAGAGTACATGATTTGGTAAATCAAAATTATGGATGAAAAGCAAAAATTGTGACATATGAAGTCATAATCATGTTTTAGTTATAAGATTAAAAAAAAAACAATTGACATTCAAAATTGACAAAAGGTCAAATTGACTTTTTATGCTAGATTTTACTTTTTGTTTTGCTGTTTTACCTAATAGTTTGACTTTTGCCATTATTTCAGCTTTGTCAATTATGACTTTTTGTGTCATAATTTGTCAAAATTGGAGTTTTTGTCACAATGACTTGTGTCTCGTAGCTTCAACTTGTCATGACTGAATGTTAAAATTAAGACTCAATATGTCAGTTTTGACTCATAATGACATGTAAATTATGACTTTTTATGTAATAATGACTTAGTATATCATTTCAACTTATGTCATAATTGACTTAGTATGACATGACTCTTTATGTCATATAATTCTGAATTTAACTTGTCATAATGACATTTTATGTCAGTTTCGATTTTTTTTGTGTCATAATTTTAACTTTTCATGTCACATTTTTGTCATAATTATGACATTTTATGCTCGTTTCAGTGTATGTCATGATGACTTAAGTCATAATTTTGACACTTGGTATGTCATTATTTCTGATTTTTCAAAGCATGGTATTTGTACTTGTGTGGCAGAAATGGCTTTCCATAGACAACAGCCAGTTTAATATCTCTGAATAAATGTGTCTCAGAGATCCACAACTCAAACACATTGAACCTCCTCTATAGGTCACACTGATATAGCACTCCACCATATGAATAACACGCTAACAGGCCAGCCTTGGGGTTTTAATAAGCATGAAACTTGTCTTCGAAGTACTAATGGGAGGACAGTGCATTTCCAAGACTCCTTTCACCCTGCTGTGAAGGGACCAACTAATACAAATGCTAATATACGTGAAAACCGAATGCACACCTTTCCCAGAACCTGTGGGCTGCCTTTGAAAGGGTCAGAAATGCCGCATTTCCGCAGAGGCTGATTCTCTATCTTGGTCAAAATTGCTTTCTTGTCATTTATAACTTTCTCTATTGTGGATACCTGGACAGATACAGAAACAAAGAGACAAACAAACATCTGTGACGACTGGAATTAAATGCATGCTTAAATAATAAACAAACAGCAATAAAACAGTTTGCATGTTAGTGTGCATGCACAGACTCACAGTGGTTAGTTCTGAGACGTCTAAACCACATTTCATGAGCTCTGGCTTGAGCTCGTTTAGTTTGTGAGTTGCATCTCGCACCTGACCTGTAGAGACACACAGATATATGAGTCACACATGATCTGAGCAAAAACAAATGAATGAATCAATAAATAATTAACTAAACCAAAATCGGCAGTGCCTACATTCAAGTTCAGATGTTAGTTGATTATTGGTATCGAAAAATTCCTGGTACATCAAAACGGTTTGGGAAAGGCGATCTTTCTTCTTACTTAGACTCACTATGACTTTCTGATTTTCTGCATCTGAAAGAGACCAAAATATCAAACATGGATTGCTGCACACCTCCATTACACTCCCTAAATAATAATATCATTGTAGTTTAACAAATTGTGACCCTGGACAACAAAACCAGTCATAAGGGTCCATTTTTGAAATTGAGATTTGATGTTGATGTATGGTTTGTTAGGATATGACAATATTTGGCTGAGATACAACTATTTGAAAATCTGGAATCTGAGGGTGCAAAAAAATCCAAATATTGAGAAAATCATCTTTAAAGTTGTCCAAATGAAGTTCTTAGCAATGCATATTACTAATCAAAAATTAAGTTTTGATATATTTACGGTAGGAAATTTACAAACTATCTTCATGGAACATGATCTTTACTAAATATCCTAATGATTTTTGGCATAAAAGAAAAATGGATAATTTTGACCCATACAATGTATTGTTGGCTATTGCTACAAATATCCCCCAGCGACTTAAGACTGCTTTTGTGCTCCAGGGTCACAATTAAGTCACTTAGTATATAGTAAGAGTTTAAAGGAATAGTCACCCAAAAATTAAAATGTGTTTACTTTACTCACCCTCAGGCCTTAATGGATATACTTATATATTTAATTTATATAGAACTGTGCACTAATAATAATAATTGTGATATAATAATAATACTGCTTGTCACATTGGATTTGATTATGACATGGACATTATCATTTTCTTACCTTATTTAGTATAGATTTAATTATAGTTACATTACAATATGCACTGATTTTGATTGGTTACAGCAATAATAATACTGTTTTTCACTTAACTCTGAGACAGTCAATAGTAATGCAAGTAATATTGGGTTGTGTGTCTGCTGACTAACCGTTGCAGAATCTGAGAGGCAGGATATATGGAGCGATGGCAACACTTTTCTGATGAATCTCAGCACTGAACTGAAGGATGTACTCGGCTCCATCCACACCGGGACTGTTCTCCAAAAGTGCCAAATCCTACAGGACACAAACAATAACACCCATTTAACATTTAAAGTTCTTCGTTTTAATTGGAGTGCATGTATGCAGTTTAGGTGAATCAATACAGAGGCCATGCATAAAAAAAAAGGGATTTTACATATTTATGCATTTGGAAGACTGTTTTATCCCCATGCATTTTTTTTTCTCATGCATCTCCATGCATCTAACAATCATTCAATAGAATTTTTTTTTTTTTTTTTTGC